GAGTCAAGAGTTTAAGACTAGCCTGACCAACATGGTGAAATCCTGTCTCTACTAAAAATACAAAAAATTAACCAGGTGTGGTGGCACATGCCTATAATCTCAGCTACTTGGGAGGCTGCGGCAGGAGACTAACTTGAACTCAGGAGGCAGAGGTTGCTGTGAGCTGAGATCACGTCCCTGCACTCCAGTCTGGGCGACAAGAGTGAAACTCTGTTTCAAAAAAAAAAAAAAAAAAAACTAAACTAAATCATAATATTATTAGGCATATGTACCTAACAACATAACCTCAAAAAAACTAAAACAAAAATTGACAGTACTAAAATAGGAATAAACAATTCCACAATCAAGATGAGGTATTTTAATAATCCTCTTTGAGTAACTGAAAAAACAAGCAGTCCAAAAAATCAGTAACAATAGACAAAATTTGAACATGATTAATAATCCCGATTTAATCGACATACATAGAATACTGCAAGAAAAACAGCAGAACACATTCTTTTCAAGCATATGGAAAATTTGCCAAAATTGGCCATACGTTAGTACATAAAGCGAGTCTCAACAAATTTCAAAAGACTAAAATCATTCACAGAATATTCTTGGATCTTGAGATAATTAAGGTAAAAATCACTAAAAAACATAATCAAATGCCCAAATGCATAGAAGTTATAAATCATACTTCTAAATAATCCATATAGTCAAGGAGGAAATCACAATAATATTATAAAGTATTTGGAACTAAATGATAATTAGAACACACTTCAAAATTTGGATGCAGCTGAAGTGTGGTTTAGGTGAAGTATGCCTTAGTGCATAAATTAGAAAAAAATAGTAAAAATTATTAGATGGTTTTAAGTACTATCTGAAGAAATTTTTAAATAATAACAAATTAAATCCAAAGAACATATGAGAAAGGGAATAATACAGGTAAAACCAGAAATTAAAAATATAGAAACCACATAACACAGAAGATGAACAAAGTCAAAGTTGGTTCTTTGAAAAGACTGACAAAATTAATAAACTTCTGCTGTGAGTGTTGGCTGCTTCTCCTTATTCTTAGATAACAGAAGCCATCACTCCTAAAAGGTTATGCCATCCTCCCGCCCCTCCTCCACTGCCTACCCTAGGGATGGCAGAAACAGCAGGCCCTTTACCTCAAAGTTTAGCACCCCACCTGAATCAGGCCAAAGCTAGACTTTGCTTGAGGTCACATCCTTGTTCTGCTCTTCCCCTTTCCAGTTCTACTACCCTCATTCCCTTTGGGATTTTTTTCCTGAAGAACATTTCCTCAATAAATCAAACACACCAAATCTCTGTCTCAGGCTTTGCTTCTAGGAGAATGTGACCTAAAACTGAAACTAAACAAAACCTAAATGAGAAATAAATGTACAATTAAATAAATAAATAATAAATAAAATACAATACTCGTGAATTTGAAGACTCAATATTAGAAAGATACCAAGTCCATCAAATTGATCTCAAGTCCCCCAAATAGATCCAATGCAATCCCAAAGTCCCAGCAAGTTTTCTGTAGAACATAAGTGTATTTCAAAATGTATACAGAAACCGAAAGGGTTAAGAATAGCCAAGACAATCTTGAATAAGAAGACCAAGCTGAGGAACTTATACAACCAGATATCAAGACATATTATAAAGCTATAGTAATTAAAAGACTATAGTAGATTAAGATTGACAGATAGACAAAGGAGAGAAATGAGAACCTACCATCAGACCTCTCTCTCTCTGTATATAGACACTGATATATGCAAACATTAGCATTGCATAGTGGTGGGGAAGGTTCATTTAATAAATGGCTCTAGACCAATTAGACATTCATAAGAACCCCTGCCTCCATGCAAAAATCTAAACCTGTGGATTATAGCTTTACAGGTAAAAGATAAAATAGAGTTTCCAGAAGACAACATAGAAGAGTATCTTCATAATCTTTGGGTAAGCAGAGTTTTATTATAAATGACACAAAAGTTACCATAAAGAAAAATATTGGTAAATTGGTCCACATTAAATTTAGAAACATCTCTTTATCAGCCGGGCGCGGTGGCTCACGCCTGTAATCCCAGCACTTTGGGAGACTGAGGCGGGCGGACCACGAGGTCAGGAGATTGAGACCATCCTGGCTAACAAGGTTAAACCCCGTCTCTACTAAAAAAATACAAAAAACTAGCCGGGCGAGGTGGCGGGCGCCTGTAATCCCAGCTACTCTGGAGACTGAGGCAGGAGAATGGCATAACCCGGGAGGCGGAGCTTACAGTGAGCCGAGATTGCACCACTGCACTCCAGCCTGGGCAACCGAGCGAGACTCCGTCTTAAAAAAAAAAAAAAAAAAACCTCTTTATCGTGACATATCTTTAAGAAAGTGAAAAGACAAAACAAAATAATAGAATATATTTACAATACAAATAATTTTCTAATGACTCATATCTAGCATCTACGAAGAAATTCAACAAATAAAAAGAAATACAATCCACCTGAAAAATGGAAGTACCTCACAAGAGATGATATCCAAATGGCTAACAAACATATTAAAAGTTGCCCAACCTCACTGGTTATTAGGGAAATGCAAATTAAAGCCATATTGATATATCAATATGAGGGCAAGGATTTGAAGCAACTGGAGCTCTCATACAGGATTGGTGAGAGAGTAAAGTGGTAAAGTCATTTAGGAAAACTTGCACTATAATTATTAAAGTTGGCCATATGGATATCTTATTACCCCACAATTCCACTCCTAGGGTATACCCCGGTGAAATTCTTGTACATGTTTATAGAATACAGGTTCAAGAACATTCATAACAACAATATTGTTAATTTCCCCAAATTGAAAGTAATACAAATATAATAAACAACACAATAGATCAATAAATTTTGGTAAGTACAAACAATGGAATAGTATATAGCAATGAAAATGACCAACCTACAGCTATACTATACACATTATGAATAAAATCCCACAAATATAATGTTGGGTAAAAAAATAAAATATATCCTATAGAATTTTACTTTTATATAAAGTTCACAGACAAAACAATATTGCTCAGAGATGCATATACAGGTGGTAACACTATAAATAAATGCATAGATATGATTACCATAAAATTCATCTAAGAATTCCATCTAAGGACTAAGGATTACATCTAAAATAAGGCTTACTGGATTAGGAAGTAAAATACAGAGGACTTCTAGAGTGTGGGTGATGCTCATTTCTTGACATAGGTGATAGTTACATGGGTGTTCAGTTTATAATTGCTCATTAAATCATGTATTTTGCTTATTTTGCTAAATTTCAACATTAACACATTTTTAAAAACAAACTAAATAAAAAGATTGCATTTGACTTATGTTACACACCTACAATTTAATGAATTCATTAGTAGTGACTTAGAGTAACATGATAGATATGCAAATAATGGTTATATTGTATTAAAATGAATGTTCAGTTTCTAGAACCAATTGAAAATATCTTATTTATTATATCTTAAATTACTCAGCGTTCAGTATTTTGCATTGTAGAGGGGATTCCTATATTTAGGTAAACTTAGATATTAAAGCCATTTTCAAGAGTATGTGATTATTTGAACTCACTGTCCTAGGAAGTGGTGAGCTACTTTTCCCTGAAAAGTAAGTTTCAGAAATTCTCTCTACGATGGAATTCTATCTATGATGGTTTATTGTACAAAAAAATTCCTAAAGTTGTTAGAGTAACATACTCCAAGATGTCTTACAGTATGAAACAACAATGTAGAATAATTTTTAAATTGAGGCCATGTATCCTTCTAAGACTTTCTCTCTCTCTCTCTCCCCCCCTCATTTGCTAACATTTATATGGATGTACAACTATAAACAATTGAGCATTAGGTATAGAATAAGATTATAAAGTTAGGGTAGTCTACAAAATAGATTTTTTTTTTTCTTTGAAACAAAATCTCACTCTGTCACCAGGCTGGAGTGTAGTGGTGTGATCCAGGCTCACTGCAACCTCCACCTCCCGGGTTCAAGCGACTCTCCTGCCTCAGCCTCCTGAGTAGCTGGGACTACAGGTGTGTGCCACCACACCCAGCTAATTTTTGTATTTTTAGTAGAGACAGGGTTTCACCATGTTGTCCAGGATGGTCTCAATCTCCTGACCTCATGATCTGCCCGCCTCAGCCTCCCAAAGTGCTGGGATTACAGGCGTGAGCCACCTCGCCCAGCCAACAATAGATATTTTTAAACTGCATCTTGTGTCTTGTGGCCCAATTCTTTGTACTTTTTTTTTTTAAGATGGAGTCTCGCTCTGTGGCCAGGCTAGAGTGCAACGGCACCATCTGGGCTCACTGCAACCTCCGCCTCCCAGGTTCAAGTGATTCTCCTGCCTCAGCCTCTCGAGCAGCTGGGACTACAGGCACGCACCACCATGCCCAGCTAATTCTTGTATTTTTAGTAGAGATGGGGTTTCACCATGTTGGCCAGGATGATCTTGATCTCTTGACCTTGTGATCTGCCCACCTCAACCTCCCAAATTGCTGGGATTACAGGCGGGAGCCACCATGCCCAGCCTTTGTACTTATTTTCTTAGAAAGTTTGTCTTCTTTATCTGGGATACTGTGTAAAAGTATTTGGCAGCTTCCTTAAATTCTCTAGAAAGTTTCTTACGATAAAGTTATGAAAGATATATAAGTGACATTCATAGGGCTCAAAAATGATGCATGAAATGTTTGCTTTCACTTTTAAGAAGAAAATAAAAATAAAGAATAAACTTAAGGCAAGTCTATCTACTACAAAATTATAAAAGAGATATCGTTAGAAGAAAATAAAAGAAATATCAAACCCGAAAGCCATGGGTTCCCTTCTGTGGTAAATGGTTAATAAACTGTCTCAGATTAGAATGATTTAAAAACATATGAAACTACTTAAGAAAAGGAAGACTGTTAATAAACATAGACATGTAGAAATAGCCTACACTGTATCAAAATAGCCTGCTTTGATCCCTTGAACCAGAGTCTCACCTTTAACAAAGGATAATTGATACTTGCAACCCACATGTTGGTAAATGGAGCTTCCAAGACAATAGCATCAACTGGGCATCCTTGAAAATTAAAGAAAGAAAGAAAGAAAGGAATCAGCACCTCCCCTATTCAAATACCATCTTTCCTAGATAAGGGGTCTTCAAGATCTTGTACATGAGCTACGTGCACCAAAATTATTTGTGAAGGTTATTAATAATGCAAATTCCTGGACCCCACCTCATATTTATGAGTCAGATTCTCCAGGGTGAGGGCTGAGAATGTGCATTTTAACATGCCTCCACCCTCCCCTCCCCAAGAGGTTTCTGTGCACATGATGATAATTGAAAACCACTACCTTCTTCTATGAACACAACCAGGTCATCGTGGCTTGGATAACTAATGAAAGCAAGGCCCGGCGCGGTGGCTAACGCTTGTAATTCCAGCACTTTGGGAGGCCGAGGCGAGCAGATCACGAGGTCAAGAGATTGAGACCATCCTGGACAACATGATGAAACCCCATCTCTACTAAAAATACAAAAATTAGTTGGACGTGGTGGCGCACACCTGTAGTCCCAGCTACTCAGGAGGCTGAGGCAGGAGAGTTGCTTGAACCCGGGAGGCGGAGGTTGCAGTGAGCCGAGATTG